GGCCTATAGTTTTCTATTTTGGTGCTGTCTTTTCCTGGCTTTGGTATCAAAGATATGTTTGCTTCATAGAATGAATCTGGGAGGGTTTCATCTTCTTCTAGATATACCCACTGCAGCACATCTTTGGATTTCTTGGCTGTTGCTACCATGGGTAGTGATTATGGATTCCAGTAAAATGAAGTTATTGACAACTTAAATCTTTTTTCCATCAATCAGAACATACACATGCCAAATCTATTAAAATATACATTTGACAATTTGTAATTAATATTATAAAACAAAATGTCTGTGGGTGATTGAATAGAAAAGAAACGTGATCTATAAACTTTTACTCAAATGAAAATAAAAGTACATATGTACCCTAAACCTCCAAAAGAATTGTATAATTTGTATTTCTTCAATTTTTTTTTGTAATTTTTATGAGCATGTCAAAAGATGAATAACCCACAAAGTGTGCTTTGTGAAGAAAATGAGCTGATTTCTTCACGTAGCCTGTTTCTACTCAGAGACCCAGTTTGGCAAACCAAAAATTTGACTTTGCCAACATCTATATTGAAAGAAAGAAAGAAGCTAGTCTGACATGTCAGATTATGTATTCTGTGTTTAGACATGTTTTTATCTATGTTGTCTGAGTTATCCATTCTCATCTCTTTCCCAGGTGTTTTATCCCAAATATCTATGCAGCTCTGTTCACTGCTGCTCTTGTTCCTCTGATGTGCCTTGTGGTGGTGTTCGTCGTATTTATCCATGCCTACCAGGTGAAGCCACAGTGGAAAGCATACGATGACGTCTTCAGAGGAAGAACAAATGCTGCAGGTTTGGAAGGAACTTTATTTGCCCTTTGAGGATGGGAATTCTTTTTTTTCTTTAAGCTCAGAAGTTCTCTTTATTAACTTTTCCGCCTTCCTTTTTTAAATTTTAAACTAATTTCAATGAAAGTTAACAGAGACTTTGGATTTCCATTCATTCATTGTTGCACTTTTCTCCCTGCCAGCCCCCTCCTTAATTTGCTTTTCTTTTTGAAAAGTAAAAGGAAAAAATCCTTTCATTGTTATTCAGTCCCTTCCCCCAAGTCCACTCCACTATGCTACCTTCATTCTGTACTCCTGTCATAACAATAATATCTAATCATTCATGCTTTTAAACAGTTCTCTCAAGGATAGGAAATTTTTAGTGAGGAAAAGCATATCTTGTAGTGGCAGGGAAAGTGAAGTTAGGCTTGAAGTTAGGCTCAGCTTTACAGGTTTTAGCCATATGTTAAGCTTTTTTTTTTT